AAGGGCTGTGCGGAAGGTCTGGAGGGTCTGGAGGGTGGTGAGGGTACGAATCTCCACGGGGAGATCGTTCCAAAGGGTCGGAGCTACTACTGAAAAGGCTGTCCTCGGCACTGGCTGGCAGATGGAACTCGGAGGAGGCCTAATCTGTGTGATCTAATCGGTCGTGAGGAGGTAATTGGCAGGAGGCGGTCTCTCAAGTAGAGACCGCCTCTCAATTTGCTATGCACTTCATGAATGGCAGGCAGTCTTTTTCTTTGTATGGTTTTTTTGATGTGGTTTTCAATCTTTTCTTTCAGCAATTTTGCTAGATCACTTAGCTCTACACTTTCGAGTTGTTGCACAGGAAGATCTTCATCCTGTATGTTAGCTTCTTCCACTGGCTGGTTAGTTTGTTCAGGTGTTGGAACAGTTTCTTCAGCTTGTTCATCATTACTTGTTTTCTTATTAGCCAATATTTCTAGATGTTGCATTCTGCATCTGTGAAAACTTTATTACGGATGATGAAATGTCTTTGATCTGTTAATCCTTGTTCAATTACATCACTTTTCGGATGTTTTCCTTCCACATTTGCATCATTCTTTTTTTAAAAAAATCTCCTGGTTGTTAGTTCTGCTTGGTAGTAACATTTGATGATTTCTCGATTTTCTTTGGTTGTCCAAGTTTTGTACTTTTGTTCCAGTTGCTTTGCGGTAGCAGTAACAACTGAGCCCTGTAGCCCATTTTTTGACAGATGTCCAGGAGCCATAGCATCTGATGTGGCCCTTATTGATCCAGGTGATGACCGATCCAGTGAGGAATTTTGTTGATTTCTCATCATCATTGGTGATGATAAGTGTCTTGGTTGGTTCACGGTGACTAAACCACTATCCATCTGAAGATGGTAATCCCTAACCATAGGGACCACACCCGATAGCCGTCCAGGGTCAGCCACAGCAGCCCACTGCCTGTTTGGTGCCAGGAAGGCAGGATCAGGTATGGGGTGGTGGAAGGAATGCATCTCAACTGCCCGTTTGGTATCAGGAAGGCAGGATTAGGTCCTGACGATGATGATGATTACTTATTTGTTATTGTTATTATTTAATCTTCAATTCAATTCACAGTCTAAGACTGGTAAAAACTTAGCAGTTCAAGTCATTATTATTATATTAGGTATTAAGTAAGTATCATCAATTATACTCTACAAAGTACTCTACAATGGAATGTTATTATTTTAGTGTATTGCATCTGTATTTTATCACCATATTTTATTTAAGTAAACATTTTAATGAATTAGTATTTTAATACTTTACTAGGCTGTCCATCCATCCATCTCAAGGTGGTGAACATACTTAATATTTCTGCGTCTTAGTTTTGCCACAACAACCACCCTTTGAGGTGGGTTGGGCTGGGAGCAGAGGTAGGCTGCTGCCAGTTCTGCCCAGTTCAGCCGAACCAGTAATGGAATTCAGGCCTGGCTCGCAGAACTGGCAGTGACCCAGGTCTGCCATGCCCCAGGACTTCAGATATAGCAGCAATGTAAAACACCAATAGAAGAATATGTATTAAATATAATTATGTTGGATTTTGAGCATAATTAATATCATGGCCCGACAAAACCGCGCTTTATAAGTTACGACTAGCACCTTGAAGCATATCCGGAGACTGATCGGTAACCAGTGCAGCTCGCGGAGGATAGGTGTAACGTGGGTGTACTTTGAAACCCATTTTTAAAAAACTTCTATATTGTGAAAATAGCTAACTTTCAGTTTAGGATAGGATACTGGAATATAGTTTTATTCTCCTCAAGTGCCTATAAAAAGTTAATGCTCTTTTACTGTTTTCTAGATAGATGATAACCAGCCGGTGGAGTATTTGTCAGAGCTACGTCCTGTTACTGTTGTTTTTGTGAATATGCAGTTTGAAGAAAATGCCAATACGAACCATGTGTGTAAGGCTATCCAAGATGCCAATGATATGATTGCTGGAACAATATTGCCCGTTAGTGGTAACATTAATAAAGTCTTCATGTTTGACAAAGTGAGTCTCCTACAGAGGTATTGTATCAATAGGTTATGTCATGTATCAACAGAGCAAAACAATGAATTTTCAATACAACTAACTGATAATAGGGAAAGCATATGCACATAGTAATACTTCATTTCATTAGTTGCTATTCTTGGTTTCTATTGTTCAACTGTGTTTCTTTTATTATGCTTTTCAATACATGCATTAAATAGAGTAGAGTGGAGTGGGAAGTGGAATGGAACAGAACAGAGTTGAATTCTTTATGGCCAAATGTGACATGCAAGGATTTTTTTCCTAAGCTCACAGTGTACATACCAACAGCAAGTAATAGGTCATAAATCATTGTTACAATCATTAATCATAAGTTACAAATAACAATTTATAAATCATAAGATACCAAAAGGAGAAGATAGTAGAAAAGATGAGATGAGAAATGAGATAGTGCTGTGGGAATTAAATGTTCAGCAGAGTGATGGTACAGGAGGAAAATCTTTGTGTCTAGTTCAGTGTTTCTCAACCTTGGCAACTTGAAGATGTCTGGACTTCAACTCCCAGAATTCCCCAGCCAGCGAATGCTGGCTGGGGAATTCTGGGAGTTGAAGTCCGGACATCTTCAAGTTGCCAAGGTTGAGAAACACTGGTCTGGTTGTTTTGGCATGCAGTGCTCTATAGCAACGTCCTGAGGGGAGAAGTTGAAATAGATTATAGCAACGTCCTGAGGGGAGAAGCAACGTCCTGAGGGGAGCAATGTCCTGAGGGGAGAAGCAACGTCCTGAGGGGAGCAATGTCCTGAGGGGAGAAGCAACGTCCTGAGGGGAGCAATGTCCTGAGGGGAGAAGTTGAAATAGATTATGTCCAGGATGTGAGGAGTTTGTAGATATTTTCTCAGTCCCCTTTCTAGTTTTTACAGTATACAGATCCTCAATGGGAGACAGGCTGGTTGTGATTGTTTTTGATAATGCCTTTTTCTACTGTAACAGAGAGAGTCGGAAGTCAACGTTTCGTTCTCTTTCCCCATCCTTTCTCACTTTTCTTTTCCCATTTCCCTTTCCCCTCATTGTCCTCTTATTTGCTTTTGTATTTCATAATATTTTATAACTTAATAAAAATATTTTTTTGTAAGTGACTGTTTTTCCTGCAGCCATTGAAGTCTGCACTTTTCCTGTTTGGTTGCTCGCCCAAAACAGATAGTTATTGAGCTACAAATGACAGATTCAGTAATTCATCTGTAGAACTGTATCAGCAGATCCTTGGGCAAGTTGAACTTTCTGAGTTGATGCAGGAAAACATTCCGTGTTGTGCCTTTTTAATGCTGATTTTAAAGTTAGGTGTCCATTTCAAGTCCTTGGAGATAATAGAACTTAGAAACTTGAAGATCTCTATTGTTGGTACTGTGTTGCCTAATATTGTAAGAGGTAGTAGAATAGGAGAACTTCTTCTAAAATCTACTATTATTTCTAGAGTTTTAAGTATATTTGGCTCTAGATTTTTCTGGCTGCACCACAGGGACAGTTGATTTACCTCCTGTCTATATGCAGATGGTTCCACCACAAAACCGCGTTCGACTAAACCGCGCTCGATGAAACTGCGTAGCTGAAGTCATCAACAGCGCGACAACAGCGTGGAGACAGAAGCACGCTGTAAACGCTAAACCTAAAATTAACCCCTAAACTTAAACCTAACCCTTAACCTAACCCTAAACCTAACCCTAAACCTAACCCTAAACCTAATCCTAACCCTTAACCTAACCCTAATCCTTAACCTAACCCTAAACCTAACCCTAACCCTTAACCTAACCCTAAGCCTAACCCTAAACCTAACCCTTACCTTAAGTTGAATCAGCTTGCTTTCAAAGCGCTATTTAAAGCGCCATTCTTTCTCTGCGCTTGCTGTTGTCGCCCTGTTGATGACGTCAGCGACGCGGTTTAATCGGGCGTGGCTTAGTCGAGTGCGGTTTTGTCGTGCCACGTATGCAGACTCATTGGCATTTCAAATGAGACCAATGGTTGTTGTGTCATCTGCAAGCTTCAGTACTTTAACAGAGGGATCTTTCAAGATGCAGTCATTGGTATATAGAGAGAAGTGTAATGGAGAAAGCACACAGACCTGGGGGGGGGGGCCCTCTTGTGCTAATTGAATGGGTATTCAATTTGATTTACCTTAACGTCACCTGCTACTTCCTATTCATTAGAAAGCTTATAATGCATCTACAAGTGTGGTCAGGCACAGCTATCTGAGTCAGTTTTGACAGGAGGATTTCAGGAATGCTGAGCTTAAGTCTACAAAAAGAACCTCTACATAGTTCTTTAGATGTTGTAAGATGTAGTGTATGCCTATTGACAGCATCATCTGCTGATCTCTTTGCATGGTAGACAAATTTCAAAAAGTCTAACAGCAGATCTGTGATGGCTTTCAGGTGGGCCAACCCTAACCTTTCAAAGGTTTTCATAACTACAGATTTCAGAGCCACCAATCTGTAGTCATTCAACTCCTTGATGGAGAGTTTCTTGGGCACTGGAATGATAGTAAATCGTTTGAAGCAAGAACTAACACAACACATCTTTATTAAAGATGCAGGTGAATATAGGGGCCAGTTGATCAGCACAGACTTTCAAGCAAGAGGGAGTTACTCTGTCTGGCTCTGGTGCTTTTCTCCCTTTTTGTCTGTGAAATAGGCCTTGCACATTTTTTCTGTGGTCACCTGAGGTGGAGGGGCCCAGAGGGATGGAGTCAGGTATAGGAGACTTGGCTGATGGAGAGGGTAGCGGTAGTTGACAGTGGTCTCTTCTCAAACAGTAGAACACATTAAGTTCACTTGCTAGTTGCCAATTCTCTTCAGCAAAGGAGGGTGGTCTGCTACAGTCAGTGATATTTTTCAGACTTTTCCATACATTAACTGGTTCATTTGTGGAGAGCTGATTCCTCAGCTTTTCAGAGTAGCTTCTCTTTGCTGCCCTGACTTCCCTCGTAATACATTTCTGGCCTGATTGTACAGCATTCTATCTCATTTCCCATAACTTCCTCTTTGCCATGGCATAGATGTTTGAGCTTAGCGGTGAACCAAGGTTTATTATTATTGTAGATCAGTGGTTCCCAAACTTGGCAACTTTAAGACTTGTGGACTTCAAGTCCCAGAATTCTCTAGCCAGCTGAATTGCCAAGTTTGGGAACCACTGTTGTAGATGTATAAGGTTTTGGTCTCCTAATGAGAAGGAAGGACTCACTTGAGAAGAGCCTAATGCTGGGAATGATTGAGGGCAGAAGAAGAATGGCATGAGAGAGAATGAGGTGGCTGGATGGAGTAACCGAAGCAGTAGGCATGAGCTTAAATGGACTCCAGAGGATGGTAGAGGAAGGCCTGGTGGAATGTTGTCCATGGGGTCACAATGGGTTGGACATGACTTCACAACTAACAACAACAAGGTTTTGGTTGGTAGTAAACAGCATCAGTGAGTTTATCCCAGTCTGCTGAGGTAATTTCACAAACATTCCAGTGTATGAAGTTGAGGCCAGCCTGTAGCTTTAACTTTGCCTCTTCACTCCAAGACTTCACTGTTTCAGCTACTGGTTTTATGACTTTAAGTCTTTGCCTCTAAACAGGTTCAAGGTGAATCATACAGTGATCAGAATGTTCCACAGCCATTCTTGGTATGATGAATAGCAGTGGTCTAAAATATTCTTGCCTCTGGTGAAGCAGTTGACATGCTGAATTTATCTTGGCAACTCCCAGCTTAGGTTAGCACTGTTAAAATCTCCTAATACAATGAGTTGGGAGTTTGGATAGCTTTGTTCAGCTCACAGGATTTGGTCAGTTAAGGTTTGCAATGCCTTATTTATGCAAGCTTGGAGTGGTATGTAGACCCCAACTAGGATGAATGAAGAAAACACTTGGGCAGGAAGAATAATAGTGTATGCACTATGTACTACAATAATAGTGTATGCTCAATTCATGCACTAAGTCATGAATTGAGTCTCTAAGTCCACATCACCAAATTTCTTTAGTGTAGTGACATTTTTACACCGTTGGTTGTTAATATAAAAGCAGTTACCTCCACCCTTATTTTTACCAGATGTTTCTGCAATTCTATCTGTTCTTTGAAGCTGAAATCCTGGGATTTGCAAGCAGCTACCATTAATCAATGACAATCTAATTAATAATTAAAGAATTAATTTACAGCGCTATATTATAATTTTACTTAGACTACTATAGGATAATGTACCTTGATCTGAGAAACAGCATGCAACACTAAATAAGTAAATATCTTTTATGAATTGTACTTACCTATTCTTTGAAACAGTGTTCTCTGATGTACTATTTTCTCCTTCCCAAAAAGGGCTGCACTTTTCTTTGCCTCTTTGGTCTTCCTGGTGATAAACAAGCAGATGAAAGCACGAATGCTCTTGACAGTGCCCATAAAATTCATGCTTTCTGTTCCAAAGAACTTATGAAAGTAAAGTAAGTAAATGAGGGTGGGATGTCACCAACATATATCTAATCACATGTAGTGCTCGAGCCAGAGGTGGTATTCAGCTGGTTCGGACTGGTTCGGGTGAACTGGTAGTGGAAATTTGGACTAGTTTGGAGAACCAGCAAATACCACATTTCGTTGGCCCCGCCCTCCGGCCTCCATCGCTCCCTGTCCTATATTCCCTTGTTTTTTAGCTTAGCTGATTCGCGCAGCAGAGCGGATTGCTGCGCCTCAGCTGAGCTAAGAAACAGCTCAGCTCACCAGTGCTGACACCAAGGGCGGTCTTTGCATGTTGCACGCACACACGAAGTGTATGCTAGGCATGCACGCATGCACGCACAAAGTGCTCTCTCATAAAACCAGTAGGAAAAGATTTGGAATCCCACCACTGGCTGAAGCTCAAGCTTTCTATATCAAGGAATGTCATGTTTGCATCCTAGTTCTAATCCTGTATTTGTAACATCATGAAGAGTTGTATCAGCTAAGACTTGGGTTTAAGTTTTAGGGGGAATTATTGGGACACATAAGCAATCTTTCATTCTATGATCTGTTCTGTGTCCTACATCCATACTATGCAGGGCCTAACTTGAGAAATTGAGTCAGTTAATTACAGGTTTATTGCCTACTCAAGAATAGCACTGTGGAGTGTATTCTCTAGAGTTGTAGGATAGACAGCTGCCTCATCCTTTCTCCCTTCCTGGATATTTTCCCCCTCCTTATTGCAACAAAGTGCCACCTTGAAAATACCATGGAGGAAGAATGTTGGCAGTGAAGCAACTGGCCACTACAGTTTGAAGGCTTGAGCCAGAAGTTGTGTAAAAATTCCCCAAGTGACAGGAGGATTTTAAAATTGTACTGCTTTATCCTTCAAATGAGATTTGATCTATTTTTTGAAGACTTTGATACTGTCTTTTTAGATACATTACATACTTGCTAAAAATATTTTAATCCTATATAGGGCTCTTCCTTATGTCTGAGATAAAGTCCTATCCACCATTCCTTGAGACAACAGCAAATTATATCATAGTAGAATTTGCTAGTTCTATTGGGAACCCTTATCCTGCCACAGATACTCATTAGCGCTCCTCTTGCTGCATCAATCAATGGTCAGTGGTTTTTTTTTAGACTTAACTAGCATCTAAATTGCTATGGTTAGTTGCTTCTTAAAAAGAACTAACCCTAGAGGAGCTATGCTAGGACTACTTAGTTATTGACTGCATCAGGTATGAGTTGAGGATGAAGAAACATCATAAAGACATCATAGAAAAAAGTTGTTGGGATTTGTTCATGTTGTGGTTATGGTCTATATCAGTGATGGCAAACCTATGACACGCGTGTCAGTGCTGACACGCATAGCCATTTGGGGTGAATGGCATAGCCATTTGGGGTGACACGCACAGGATTTCATGCGATTCATCCTCGGCTCCTGCACGGCCGCCGAGGATGAAAGAATCTGTGCTGGAGGAACGGGGGGGGGGAAACGTGTGATCTCCCCCGCCCACACTCACTTACTGTATCGCCGCCGCCCCTTTCTGAGCGCAGGGGCTGCTGGTAAGGCGTGCGTGCCGTGCGCACACCCGTCATCAGCGCGGCGAGGGAGGACCCGCAGGAGAGGAGCGCGGGAACAATGCGCGCCTCTCTCCAGTCAGGCCGGCACAGAGAGTCTACAAAAAAGTCACTAATAGGCAGGTTAGTTAAAGAATTCGCCCTCCCCCTCACTTATCTCAATTCACGGCAGGGCTGTGGAGTCTGCTGCTTCCAGCTCCAC